TTTTAACCAAAGAGACTAGGTTCCTGTGGGATAAGAGAGAAGGTCTTCATGTGAGTAAATAACCAATTATCTGGTTAGTTATTTCCTATAAAGGGTGCAAAATACAGGGCAGGGGTAAATGCTCAGTTTTCCCAGTGAGGGAGATCGTTTCTGCTCCAGGTGGTCTGCTCTGTTTTGCGTGTACGTCAGTGAGCTGGGAAAGAGAATGAATAGTGCAGTGACACATCTTGATGATTACAAATCTATTCAGAGTTCCTAAGATAAGGATAGCTTGCACACAGCTACAGAAAGGCCTCACAGTACTGAGTGGCAGGAAAGTGCTGGCAGATGAAATAGAGTGTGATAAATGTAAAGTAGTGCATTTGTTTTTTTTTTTTTTAAAAAAAAGTCAGTCCTAACTTTAAATGAACAGTGATGAGCTCTCATTTAGTCCTTTTAATCATTCCTCTAGTTCTCAACAAAAGAGATCATGGAATTATAATAGATGGTTCTATGGAAACATCACTTCAGTACTCAACAGTGTTCAGAAAACTGAATCAAATGTTAGGAAATACTGGAAAAAGAATAGAGAACAAAGCAGAAAATATCATTATGCCATGATATAAGATCCTGGTGTATCCACATCTTGTATATCGTATGCAGTGTTTTGGTCCCCCAGTCTAAAAAAGAGTATAGCAGATTTCATCCAAGGTGTGGAAAGCTCCTACACAAGGATAATAAATGGAGTAGGGGTGGGATTTGTCTTGCCTAATTTCACCTCTGCCAGGCAGATATGTACATGTGAGCTCCTTGTCTAGGCTTCCAAAGCTTCCTAGGCTCAAGAAAAATCTGCTTAATTTAGTTGCTGGAGTTCAGAATGTGATTCATTTCATCCTGTTGTAAAAACTTGTTTTGTTCAATTCCTGTCTTGATTAGCTTCTTATTGACTATAGAGGGAACATAGAGTGACTTGCTCAGATGTAAATGTCTACCTTATATATATACAAATCTAGTCAAATGTATCCCAGTTGGGGAATCTTCAGGCTGGAAAAAGTGGAAGATATGATGGAGGCTTATAAAACCATGAATGGCACAGAGAAGGTCAACAAAGAATGACTGATTACTGAGCTAAAAATTAGGGATCTTCTAGGGGAGGTCTCAAGTAATAGATTCAAACAAAGCAAAAAAGAGGTGACTCTTCAGCCTAAATATTGAACTCATCATAGGATATTTTCAATGATGTCAAGTGCCTATGTTAGTTCAAAAATCTAGTGGGCAATTTCATGGAAGGAGAATCCATCAAGAGCCAATTAACATAAAAATACAGCTTCTGGGTCCAGAATCTCCAAGCCACAAATTAGTGAGCTGGAAGAGTATAGCAAGGAGCACGGAAGCTCATGCTTTCCTGAGCTTTACGTACTTCCCTAGGCAATTGCGTTGACTGCAGTCAGAGGAGAGACTGAGCAAGAGTGCCTTTTGGTCTGACCGATTATAGTCGCTGTTACGTTCGAGACTTTTAGTATTTGGCTGGTTAGGGTTTGTGCGGTGTATGTCTCCTAGAGTTCTTGCTAATTTTCCGTGGAGTTTTAAAACACTTTCTGACAGGACTATATGGATCATTTAAAATCCAATCTACCACCTACAGTATCACATACTATTGAAATTCTTTCTTGCGTAAGGACAGTCATAATGAAAATAATTTGGGGCTGTTTCTCCTATTGCTGTTCACACTGAGAAGTCATTTAAATCCCAAGCAATTTAATTGGTTTAAATTGGTCTCCTTGTGGCAGTGGAACTCTACTCACCATGTATATTTGTTTTTAAATTAGAAACGTTACAGTTCTCCACATTTTTCTGCTATAAAACTGGGATAGGTGTAGTATCTTTTATTTAGAAGGAAAAATAATGGAAATATGAAGCAGACATAAAATACAAAAACTGGTTATTAAAAATATAAGTATTACTATAAAACATTTCAGTCATGCTAATGAAAATCACACTCTGGTAGAAATTCTTAATTTCTTTTTCTACGGATGAAAAGTATTGTGTAAGAAAGATATGGAAATAATTACTATTTCCTAAATTTGTTTGAACGTTTGTTGAAAGAAAAAAGAATTCACATTGTCTTTCTATTACTCTACAGCTACCTCGGGAATGATGTGTGTTGATTGGTGGACCTGTTGTCCCTGATAAATTGTGTTACTTGACTTAGCCTTTGAGTGGCTGACCTTTTTAATAATACAGTATCATATTATCAGATCTTAATACGGATACATTTTTCTTTCTCTTGAGTTTTTAATTGTAAGATTACTGACATTTATTACATAGCTCTGTATTAACTAGCGTTCTTTTGTTGTTACTCTACTGTGTTTTGATTCAAATAACTAATAAAAGTGCTAATAAAAGTTCAGGCTTTGTAACAATAGAATACAGAGGAACAAATTCAAATGTGGTGAAAATAATATTATATTTTCTATGTTGCAAAATTAGTGTAACGCTAGAAAAATCAATATTGTTGCAGCAGAAAAAGCAATTAATAGGAAAGTCAATTGCAAAATGAGGGGCAGGAAAGAGATACATTTTATTTTATACTTTCATATGTATTCCTATGGTTTGTTTTCTTTGCTTGCTCTGTCCTCTGTGTCGTAGCTTTCCCACTCCGTAAAATAACTTACGGTCACTACAACAGGTTGACTAATCGTGAAGGTTCTTCTATTTCACCGTAGTTTGGATATAATGATAATGTGATTTACTTAATCATTTGTGTCAATCTTCAAGACCAGTACTTCCAAGTCAACATTTCTGGTGCCAATAATAGCCCTGAAATCAGGCAGGTACTTAATTATATGCTTAAAAACAAGTGGCTTATAAGCTTAGGTCTGTGTGCTTTGCCTGAGCAATGAAGTTTTCAATTAAAGCCTGATTCTATTACTATACAACTTAATAACAAATTAATTTGCTTTAATGCAGACTCTGCATCAAAGTGTATTGTAGTGCAGGAACTGGTCTTTGCACCAGGTGATCCCCGTTTATTCCAGCAGTGAGATAGATAGATAGATAGATATAAAAACAATGAGGGTGCTGCTGACACTGGCTAAGAGATGTTCTGTGATCTTGGAAACTAAGTAGCAGCGGAGGTACCTATTTGACCATCCCCAGTATAAGCCACACTGTCATGGCCAAGAACCTTGGGCCGCTTAAACTGGCAGACAGTAAAATAGCTATTTGCAAGTTGCATGTTCAGACAATAATATATGTATCTTCAGTCACTGAGGCCTTTGTCCTCCAGGCAAAAACGCCTGTTTTTAAAACAGGTTATTCTTCTGAGCTGCAGTATTGATTTAAATGAATAGGTTAAGCACGTGTATAACACTGTGGGATAAAACCAAGCATGCTAGATCTTTTCCTTTTGTTTTCGTCACAGGCCTTACTTTCCTCACAACGCTATAAATCAGTATTCTTTCCAGTAATATCGGTTGTGTTTCAGTGGTGTAAAACTGGTGAAATGGAGAACTGTGTATTGTGAATTTGATCTATGCCACTGCTCTCGCATCATGGCATATGGGCCATTCTCTACACTTACTTCTACAAAATGCACATCACTTCTGATCTGTGCGTTTTATAGATTTATCGTTATAGCCATTCATTGCATATGAATTCCGTTTAAGTTAGTCTAACTCCTTATGTTATGGGGTTTTATTTAGCCTAGTGAAAGCCAAATCTGACCTTTAATGAAGTTTGAGGGACAATTTTTTCTGTGATATTTGCCTTTAAGCCAAATCATGACATTCTAATATCTACGAATGTCTTAATGCTACTTACAGTGTCAAGACTGTTATGGTTCACTCAGATATTTTTTTTTTTTGGGGGGGGGGGGCGGATAGGGAATGTTGTTTGCATCATATATTGGTGAAATGATTAGTAGCCAAACACTTCAGGTTTTTTGATGATCCAAAATGAGATGCAGACCACATATGGTCTATATTAAAAATGCTGAGAGAAAGGAGCTGGAAAGCCAGACTAATATCACAAGTGAATTATCCTACCTTTGTGTGCAGAAATCACATTACCTAATGTGCTCCTGAAAATGACAGAATTTATCCCTTAGAAATGGCTCATTGGTACATTTTGACACAATTTGTCATCTTAAAGATTCATAAATATCTCCTTAGGAAAGATAGATATGGAACAGTGGAAGATCGGCGTAGAGATCCTCTCTCCGTTAGAGTCACGATGTGCTGTGTCTGGGGTCCATGCTGCAGGGCCCTGGGGATGTTTCTGCATGCATCATGGAAACATCAGGTCGTTGCTATTAAAATCAAGACACTTGAAACTAGCAGGTTTTGGTTTTCACATACATTATTGAAATTATTAAATTAGATTGCTATTGCATATAATTTTAGAGATTATCTTACAAGATGCATTCTTTTGTTTTTCTGAAATATGGAGGCATGTAGGCTAGTTTGGGATTCATAGCAAAAGGTTTTTTGTTTTCTTATTGTTATTCCCCTTCCTAACCATTGATTTGTAATGCACAAGACACCTGAGGTAAGAGCATGACCTCAGTGAGATCTGTCTGTTTTACCATTGATTACTCTTATTTATTCACTGTTTGGAGAATTGTGGTCTGCCTCTGTTTTCATATATTAGACAGCATTTTTCATATATTAAACAGCATTTATCCGCCCTGAGGAACACATACTATGTATATGTAAACAATGAGAGAAGAGAGAAGCATCCCTTATAGCAATCATACCAGCAGATGTTCTGGTTAGAGATTTGGTTTAACTTGCCAAGAATTGCTGTGAAGGCTCCTACTTTATATCATCACCTTCTGAAATGCTAGGCTGAGACTTAAAGCCTGTATTAAGTTATATAAAAAGACTGTTGCCTGTATCATAATCAGTAAATGCCCTTCTCTCAGCTCAATATGGGATACCTCTGCTATACAAATCAGCTGGTAGTAGAGTCAGTAGTTTCTAAAGTTGTTGCTTATGTTTGTTTATGTTTAATTCACACAGGTTTATCGAGCAGAAATTGTGCCCCTTAAAGAGAAAGTGCATCACGTCAATGATCTCGCTCACCGGTTCACCCCCTCTGATATTCAGCTCTCCCAGTATAATCTCAGCTGTGTGGAAGACCTGAACACGAGGTGGAAGGTGCTACAGGTAGACTTCGCGTAACCATTTTCTTTATGCTACTTTTAAGTAAACATTTTTTCTGTCTATGTGGTTGTTTTCTCCCCATGGAAGAGCATTAAGGGCATATTAAAGGAATGAAAGAGGAAGCAGATAGTATTGAAAAACACTTTCAGAAATGGTGTTCCTATGAGAAAACAAGAGGTAAAGCTGGCTCTGCTTTCATGTACTTCTGAATCAAGAGCTAGAATACAGTTAACCCAGTTTGTCATACAGTTAAAGCTCACATACAGTTAAAACACTTAGTAGATTATTCACCTTTTAATAGCAATATGTTCTATTTAGCAATTCCTGTTGCCAAATGTATCACGTGATGGTTTCTTTCCGCTAGCTTATCCATATTTTACTGAGATTTTATGGTGTACATGGAGGATTGATTTCAGAGCGTTTGCTTTTGCTGCTTTTTTCCTTTTACTTTTGTTTAAATAATTTACAGGGGCAGTAGTTTTAAATATCTTCTTCCACAGCCAGACTAATGATGCTGTGCAATGGAACATTTAATGTCACACCTGTACAATCAAATACACAATTACAAGGCATTATATGCATTCAGTTGGCAGGATTTGTTACTGCTATTAAAGCTGTTAAGAAAAGGATTTTAGAAGTTCATTTTTCAAACAGAAAAAATATTAAGATATATTATGAAATCAAGGTGTACATAAAATGCAAGTTAAAAATAAATGTTGAAAAGTTTATAACTTTGGATTGGTTTTGTTCACATATATATCACTTAAGTTTTAGATTACTCTGTGCTATCTTGTGATTAAAGCCCTCCAAAATATATTTTTTTTTTCCAAAATGCACTATATTTCAGCTTGGAATTTTAGGAAGAATGAGTTGGGGGGGAGGTGTAAGCATGCATGAACAGATTGTAATGTAGGTGCCACAGCAGTAGAGTAGTCTTATGATTACAGGGAGGTGAATACAGTTAAGTGCACTTCTTTAAGCACTGGCATTTACTCACTTTTTTATTTATTTCTACAACATTGCCCCACGTTGTAAAGTCATGTCATTGTGTTTACCTTAATAAAGATATTGCAAAAATGTGGAAGTATGAGATGGAGGTTAACACAGAGTTTTGTCTGCATTGTAAAATCCAAGTATTAACAATATTCAAAAACGAACCCATTCCATGTTGTCATATATGACAACATATGAGACATGAGATCCTGGTGCTGTCAACTCTAATAGTCAGCAAGAGGTTATTGCCTTTCTATTACTTCTCCAAAAGAAATCTCACAATTCTGTGACATCTCCAGTTTATCAACAGTTCATGCAAATATTAACAGAATAAATATTTTTGCTTTTTCTTAATCAGCAGTTGGCAGTGACAGTGCTAGTTTAAGTAAAAGATAATTAGTCCTAGAACTTTGGCCATTAGCCTCCATTTTTCCCCAGATCCTCAGGATAGGCTATAGGAAAATTTATTAAAGCAGATGAGCAGCTATCTGGAAGATAAAACGAGTAGTCCCAAAATGACTTATCCCACGTACGAGAAAAATCACAGTTGTTTTATGTATTTAAAAACAACAGCTAATTCAAGCAGCAACAGAATCAGTTAACAAATTTACTGTGTTTTATTGAAAGTTAACCTATTTGGTTAACAAAACAGTTAACTAAGTTCCAGTGATTTGCTGAAATGTACTTCACTACTTCATCAAGACATAAAGGAAAGAGGAAGATTTTTCGTAGCAAAGGCATATAGGATGTGAAAAAGTAACCAAGTCTGAGGGAAAGCCAGAGATAAGCGTGTTGTTGTTACTGTTCATGAAAGTACCAGACAGAGGGCAAAAATGACATTGTAGGCCATGTGGACTTTGTTTTAAAATATACAGTAAATCTCTCTCGCTCTCTGTTTCGCTCTCTGTCTCGCTCTGGCTCTCTGTTTCCGTATCCTAAGGGCGGAAATATTTCTCACCCGTGTATCCCGTTTCCTACAAAACAGCATTGCAGGAAAATTATAAAACAGATGCTTTTGTGCTGCTGCTTGCCAGGAGTATATTCATTCCTTGCTGTATGTGGGAGAGGCGCATAAGGCTTATCACATCTGAAATAATAGTGAACCCTAATGTTATAAGCAAGTTGCAGAGCATTTTTTAGAGGGTGAAATGGTGTATTGTTTCTCATTTTATTAACACTGGAACTTTTATAAGATCAGAAGAGGAAACGTATCATTTTAAATCAAATCTTACAGAGAGTTAATGTTATATTAATTTTACAAGCCAGACTTTATTCATTCACTTACAGTATTGTAAAGTGGTTGTACAATGAGATAATTAGTGAATAGTATCACATATTGTTGCTGAATCTTCCTGGAACTTCATTTATGTTTCTGCGTTAATGTATATTTGCCTTTTATGTGTGTGTGTGGGGGGGTGCATGTGATCACTTGTGGTCAAGGTACATTGAAGTATTACTGGAAAGAAAAATATGGAAAATATTGTAATGATGAATGAGTATCAACAAGACAATTTTAGATTTAGTGATACATTTTTGTACTGGAAATTCTTACAGACTTAAGGTATTGTATAAAGGCATATTTCATTAATTAAGCTCAGTCACTGAAAACTAAGCATATATCATCAGCTTGTGGAGTTTACACAATGTGAGCATAATTAGCTTCATACCTTTAAAAGAGTTCTTTTGAGGAAATAACAGTTTACTTTCCCATATCTCTTGACCATAAAAGGAGATTAAACCCCTCCAGGGAACGATTTGTTATGGACTTCACAAGCAGCTCTCATGTTCAGATTCTGTGCGCTTCAAACAGTATGTGTAATGAGATCATCCTGAGGGAAAGCATGTCTTGAAAACTCTTACTTGCAGTCAAAATTTGAGGAGCTGGGCTGACCAGATTGGATTATGTCTGATACTGTTTGGTCAGACATCCAGCTGGTGTAATGCTGGCCAAAAGGTGAATCCTCTGACATTTAAAAGAATTTCCAAGTATCCCATCGGGAACGTAGCCTTCAGTGATCTATACAGATTATTTTTGTTGAAATCAAATTGTGTCCACTGCAGTGCCTATAATAAGCTGAGAAATACAAAAAGAACATGCTGGACACTGTCTTACATCCACAAAATAGATCTTTAAAGAGATTTAGTCATGAGATTTATATTCCAGTGTTCTATTTTAGAGAGTTGTAATGAACTTCAGTCATCTGCGAGTAGATGTCTCTGTCCGCACTGTTGGGCCCAGCCTGTCTAGTTTGTGAAACTGAGCAACCTGGAGGAAGCACGTACAATTCCTAGAGCTACAATAGCTCTAGGCAGAGCTATTGCAGAGGGCTGCATAGATTAATATGAAGTGTAAGTGTAAGAAGCAGTAGCCCTAATTTTGATATTGTTCTTAACTTGTGGGCTCGTCTTGCACCAATAGCAACAGTTCTCCAACATCTGGGAAGGCTGATGTGGTGCGAGAGTGTCTTGTTAAAGGGTCCAGCTGTAGCTATTATTCTGTTCCCTCAAAGAGCGCTCTCTACTTACAGCTGCTGAAGCAGCTACTGGGCTTTTACTACTACTGCAGGCAGTTACCTCAAGTTATATCATAGTCTTATTTGTATTCCACTGAGGATGGGTTCTTTACTGCGCTGTGTAGTATACACGATTGTAGTAAGTAGTGCTGCAGTGAATTATTTAAGAAAACAGCATCTTCCAGGTGCTTCACAAATATTAGCTGATTCTGTGAACCCCTGGTGAGAAATACGAATGAATGTTACTCTCTTGATTTGCAGAGGAACTAACATTGAGAATATGAGGGCTAGAAGGCAAAGCCCTTCTATACTGAAATCAATGTGGAATTGTGGCTTTTTGTCAGAGTCTTGCTCACCTCCAAATGTGTATATCCCACCAGATATTAACTGAAGGTATTGTCCAGTATTTATTCAGATGCAGTGAGTCTCTGAAAAACTGAGCCACTGGCATGGTGGGCAATAGTCCTCAGCTCATACCCTGCATTCTGTAGGGGGGCTGGCAGCAGGGCGAATAACTTACATCAAAATATAAGTTGAAAACAGCACTGATCTATTAATTTAGGGTTTAGGTTTGGAGTTTTTTTCATTTTTCATTCACCTTCTGTCCTCTATGACTCCCCCAGGAAAAAATCCTCAAAAAATAAGCAAAATAACAACAAAAATACTCATGTAAAGGAAATGTTTTTTTCGGGTCTCATAGCTGAGCTGAAACAAGTTCAGCAGATTCTCAGGTCCTTTCCCCGTTTCTATGTGAGTGGCATGGTAATGCTTTCAGGAAGTATTTTCCAAGGTCTCAACCACATCATTAAGATTTGCATGTGGTTAAGGATATTCCCTTATGTCATTTTTCCCAAAGCAGAAGGAAAACCTCTTCTAGTTCTTTGGATTTGAGTTGTCCGAATTCTTAGAAACTGCATATGAATCTCATACAGAAAAGCTCTATTCATAAACTTAAACACACAGTCTACCTTAACATTTTGTATATCTTGTATTACAGGAGAAGTTCCTTATTCTACATCAAACAGTGAGTGTAAATTGAAGGTTTGGATAGAAGAAGGCAATGCAATACTGAACAAAAAATGTGTTTCTTCCTCTGTAGGAGGTAGAAAATGTCACATATATATGAATGAAATGGGCAATTAGTTTTTTGTGTTTCATCGTTATTGTCTTTGGATTGCCTTAGCAGCTTCTCTTTTCATTGTGCCATTTTATTCATTTTAATATATTCCCATTCCTTTGGGTTTCTTCTGTTTTTAAAAAATACATATATTTTGACTTATGTCTTCTCACAGTAACTGACAAAAGCAGGAGACAATTATTTTAAATATCTGGGGGCAAAATTCTGGCCCATCTGAAATATACTAATTAAGGAATTTCTAAAATCATAGTTCTTTTCAAGCCTGAATTTTAAAACTGTTTTAGCGGTTGCAGATTTCATCTTCCCAGCAGAGGGAGATTTTGATCCTTTTTGGAAGATGAGTTTCCCTGTTAGACTCT